ACTAGAATTATCACCGAACAACGGTGTCAATCGACCGCCTCAAAGGGGCTTTCATTAACAAATCACTTGCAACCGATCTTGATACTATCACGCAAGCACCCACATCTGCGGCGACTTCCAGAGTACTGGATATTCCGAAAACCTCAGTTCCCCTTGACCCTTAACCTACACAGCCTCAACCCTAGGCAACCGACCGACGTGGTAGACAAGTCAAACGCCCGGCCTACTTTTCCGATTTTGTAAACATTTGCTATTTCCGTTAACACGCCTTTTTCGTCTTTAGTGTGATCCGTGCGTCTTGTTCACAAACGTTTTGCGAAATCCCCAAAAAACCCAAAACATGTTAAAAACTTAAAAAACATATTTGCTTTTATCATGCCCGTTATGTACCGTCTCCGGAGTCAAGCCAGTTCCCTCGACCTTTGCCAACTCCCACTGAGTTATACCTCCAGAACGTCCAAGTCAACCCTCGAGTGACTGGCTAACTGGCTCAACGCAACACCCGAGTGACTCGTCAGCCGACTCAAGGCCCTTTTCCTGACCCAAAATACAGTCAGTCGCTTTCGCGCGTAGACAGCCACGAACGGGTTGGTCCCAAAACGCCCAGCTAGGTCTTGTCGACGAGGACGCCGGATTTCTTCGGGGGAAGAGGAACGGGGACAATAGTGCTGTGGGGGTGACATCTCCCAGGCGCACCGTCGGGTCTGCAGCAGAGGGAATGTCCTTTCGGTGTTTTTGCTGGACTAGCCAGTTATTTTGTAGTCCGACCAGCCCGCCCCGACGGCCCACTGATGACACATTCTCGTCCACACCATCATCATAAATAATTAAGAACAAAAACCTGGACCCAACGAACTCTGTTACACACACCATCTTGGCTACCCTTGTTCAAGCCCATTCCACTATTCGCACCCATCCTGACATTCCGTTTTCCCATACTAACAGCTCCACCGAAGGCTTCTATCTTTCAGCCTTCTAGGAGAAGGGTCTTGTAGTGCAGCGGATAACACGCTTTTTCAGTACATTTTCAAATTCTGAAGCACCAACCGTGTGTCTTGGATTGCGACTCGCAACCTCAATCGTGGCCCCAGTTGAGTTTGAAGTCAGCTTCTGCCAATACGGTTTTTGGGCCGTAACCAAAGTGGAGGGTTTCGGTGTGGCTCTCTACCATCCCTGCACTCCACGACCGACGGTTTCATCTTCTTTTAGACTCATCAGAGAGGTATAACGGGGCTCGGAGTGGAACTTGGCGCATAGTGCTTGGCGGCTATCGCCATGACCACTAGGCACCGCTGTGCCAAACAATGCTCGCGGAGCTCCATGGTCGAGTGATCATGGCGATAGCCGCTAAACACTATGCGCCAAGTTCCACTCCCAGCTCGGCTATCTCTACCTGAGGAGTCTAAACAAAGAGGAAACCGTCGGCCGTGAAGTGCAGGGATGGGAGAGAGCCACAGCGAAAGCCTAAGCTTGTTCAGTATTTTGCGACATTGGATTATGCGGGTGTTTTAACATTTAAACGTGCACTTGTTTTACTGACGGCACTTCCGTTGACACAAATCGTTTTGGTGAGTAACGTGCGGCACTTTTACCCATTCTGGTTGATTCCCTTCATATTTCTGTAGGGAGCACAATATACGTTGGGTTCAGTCGTCTCCAACTTCTATAGTGCAGCGTATTTGACCCGGATCTTACGTGTCATTGATTACCGACTAGTATCCCAGTCGCCACCCAACAGGCACCGTAATTCTGCAACGACCTGCAATGTGAGGTCATATTTCATTTCAGATGTTCAGGCGGAAACGTATACACATTCTTCTTGTCATCCACAAACATAGGCTGTTTTCTGTATTTGACATTACCGTAAAAATCGTTGAACAATGGGCAATGGCTTATCACTGGTACAAACGCATGTGCTTGACAAGTCCCGTGGGATAGTTAGAGAAAAAATTAAAATTCAAAGGATCAACGAATACGTAATACGTCATTTTAAGTCTCTACCGATTTAAATGCACGACTGCGTAACGATAGTTTGAAATAGGAATGGGATGTGGACACACAAATTAGTATAGACAACTGTTATAGTTCAGTAAGTGCGTGGGAAAGAAAAAGGGAACGGCAAAGCTTACTCGTGTGTTGCTTCATTTGACAGATGCGTTATATTAATCCAGTTAAGACACATTCATGCTGCTCATAAGGACACTTCTGCATGTATCCTCATCGCTACGTTGCGGAGAGGGCGGTTAGGCACATGGTTTGATTCGCGTTATTTCGTCCTCGGGGTAAAACAACTACATCAAATAATGCAATTGGGATAAGGTATAATTAAGAAGTGTTTTGAAAAGCCTCAATGTTGTGGAAAGGATGGCGTGAGCCGAGAGGGCTTTCCAAGCACGAGAAACACGGAGGGAGAAAACCTTTCATCGACAATCAACTCGACGGTAGTGCGTAACCAGTTTCAACTGATGGCCACTCATGTTGATATTTTGGCGCAGCTGCAAAAATTGCAACATGGGTGAGTTGGGTTCGTCAATATTAAGCAAACCATGATGACATCTCTTCGCTGACGTCGATATTCACCACAGTACAATCTCAGGTACTGCAGTCTGGTTTGGTAGGAAATATGGAACAATCCTCTTACGAGTTTGCTTGCTCTAGGTTGTGGAGCTTCAAGTGCATCGACGTCGCGCTTGCACCACCGACGCCAGACCTGGATCGCATATTCCACTTGATGCCTCAAGTAAGCGCTGAGCAATTGCGGGAAAATGGATAGCTCAAAATTCTCGAAAGCCCTCGGTAAGGGTCCAAGATGTTGACTGGCTCATTTTGATTTCTTTCAGCCTGTCTTAAGCAATCAGGATTGATTTGCACGATCAACCCGAGGACGTCTTTACTTGGGAGGCGCGTTTTAAGTTCTGGTCCCAAAGTATATATTCATAGGTAAGCTGATAGCATAGGATTACGACTTAGCACTTGGTCACGTTGAACTGGAGCCGGTTATCGGATAACCACGCATAAACCCTGTGGAGATAGCTCTGCAATGCTATCTGATCATTCGATATACTGATATCATGTCAAATTTTAACATCATCCACAAATAGTAAAGCATTCAACTGCAATACACTGGCGAGATCGTTAATAAATGCGAGGAATAAACGTGGCCCCAGTACCAATCCTTGGGGCACGCCCCGCTGGATCTCAATTAGGACGGAAATGGAGCTGCGGATTCTCATTCGGCTGCCGTTGTGTGAGGAAGTTGCCGAACCAACCAAAACAGGGTCACCGATTCCATAGCTTCGAAGCTTGTGAAGGGGAATGCGGTGGTCCAAACGATCGAACGCTTTGGAGAAGTTCAGGTAAACCCCATCGTCTCCTACTGTGGTATCCACTGACTCTGTGCAGCTTGCTCGGGCTAGAAGCAAGCTTGTAGTGCAAGACCCATTTCGACGTAATCCGTGTTGCTGTGACACTATGATATTGTTGCGCTCAAGGTATCCCATGAGCTCCACTGCGATCGTACCCTCTAATAATTGGATAAAACTGGGAGGAGGGTGATTAGAGGTTATAGTTCAAGAGCTTTGAATGATTAATAGTTTTGTAGAAACGAGTGACTAGTCCATGTTTTATCATGGTTGGAACTTGCATTTCTTAGAGACAACATTGAAAGAACCTAGCTAATGGTTCGTCAAGCTTCATGGCCGCTGTCTTCAATGTCTTTGGTATGATGTCTTCCACGTTAGGTCAGCTGTGCATGCGCAATGGCATTAGTCTTTTCATCACATTGGCTGCCATGAACGATACGTGGTTTAGCCTTGGTGATGATGGGAACTGTGTCAAAAGCGGATGAAATTATGATTCACACTGCATAGTATGAACGAGGAATTGGCAAACACTTTGGCTGTATCTTATGCGGTTTGCGCAAGACCATCTGTTGCCCGTAAAACGGAGATCCTGCGCTGCACCCTGCGGAGCTTGTTACGTGTTTATACAGCAACTTGCAGTGCATGAGTAACAAGGATGGATCAAGAATGCTACCTTCAGAACGCCACTCGTTATTGCACATGCTTGTGACTGCAGATTATCCAGTAACACTATTTGTAGGCACTCTTCTAAGAAGGAGACAAACCAAGCCAGAGATGAGACGCGGACACCGAATGATTTAACTTTCAACAACTTGGACTTTTCCATTTCAAACTTCTTGGTAAATTCATCCACATTTTTCGACGCTATTTTCCCTATCTGCATTAACATTTACTTTTCACTCGTTATAATCGCTTTGATTAACTTCATTTCTGAATACTTAACAGCTTCGCTATGACAAGCACACATTGGTTATTGGCCAGCAATTCGAAGCTGGAAATCCGTAACCCAGATATGGCGGACTTTTGAACCACAATAGTACTATATTTTGCTGTACTATTGGCTTTCAATAGGTACGAATATAACTTTACAAGTGTATTCTGCACGTTCTACTCAATGCTGTGGTACCTGGTTAGTTACAAAGGGTGGCAGAAGTGAAAAATTACCCTAGAGTAACCAACTGATCTTTGAGTTGAGATTGAAGATGTTACCGGTTGTAGGCTTGTTCTTGGAGTAATGTATATGTGCAGCTTCTTCGCTATGAAGCTTTAAGTGAGCACAGATCATTCGAACCATTAAAAACTCATTTGCGCCCAACAAATTACAAATACATGGACATTTATATGTTTAGCGTGATATGCTCTGGAAAGTAAATTCCTAATGTTATCACAAAGTAGCAAGGAGCTTTCATATATTTGACCGAACTAGCCATTAGTAGATTCATTCAGCCACCAAATATGCAGGAACGTTCCTACGGTTGTTTCCTACCGCTGAAACTGAGCAACTGCCCTTAGGTTTCAGAATTAATCGATAAGCCAGCCAACACAATTGACTCAGCGATTTCAAACCGTAAAGCGTAAGGCTATGTTCATGTGTTTGAGTCCCGTTAGATTCCATGGGTCACGTGCTGCTGACGGAGACTTGGAGTGTGAAGCGGACTCCTGGTAGTTTTCTCCCATGTGTAGTGGCCTTAAATTTCAGTGATTCTGTGACAACTAGGACATTTTGTCTTTTTCGTCTGACGAATTTTACAACGTTTCTGGGCACAATGAACCATCCGTATGCAACCCAAACTGGATTTCAGCTATCATATACCTTCGAATCATTATGGAGAGTATGTTCACCAGAAAAGAGAGTACCATCTTTTGATTTGATGTAGATGTGAATTGGGGCTCTGAGCTAGCGACTGGTGGACAAAGGAGTCAAACGTCTAAAAGAAAGGTACTTGATTTTGGGGCATGTATTTCTTTCGGCTTATCTCTATCATCCTCCTACACTGGACTTGTAGTTGTTCATCAGATGATTGATCACTTAGTTGACCTTCTCCTGTTGTTATGTTCTATAGTAGATTCAAAATGCGTTAATACGCATAGCGATCGCGTCCAAAACCCTCATGACACTCGCACAGCGCCCAGACTGATCCAAAATTTCCACTTATCGGATCTGAATTTTGCTCTCGCATTAAGCAAAACGGGACAAGTTAATTCAACGGCCAGCTGAAACTGTCATCAGCAGTTCATTAGTGACCAACAAAGGTAACTCAGGAGGTCGTCCTGAGTTCATGGATGTCCGATTTGTGTCGGACATCCATGTGTAGATGCGACAACAATAAATTCAGAGATAATAAGTTATTTGTCATGCATAAGTCATAGCAGAAGACACTTTCCTTGTGCAGTAGCGTGTTTCGCTACGCATTGCGAAATTTTATTGACAAACTTGATAATTTAGCTATAAAAATTTCTCCCCTTGTTATAGACTCTAAAAATCAGGAAGCTAGAATGTCTGGGTTAACTAAAAGGTGGATGCAGAAAACCTGCGGTCAGAAGACAAAAGAACACCAGCTTGTCGACAAAAGAATCATAGCATTTGTGGCTCAGTCGACGTCTATTCGCGAACACATGCCTCCTTGTTCTACAAAATCGAAATGAGATCCCCAAACAGTTTTATAATGTCAGATATTTTGCTTTGGATACAAGAACTCTGGAAATGACTGATCACAGGACTACCGCGAGAAATTCCTGTCTATTGCCCAGGCAAGATACTTGCACTACTTGAAGCCAGAAGTATTTGTATAACAAGGGTACATACGTCCGTCACCACTACCTTGGTGAAAGGACAATGTTACCTGGTTGTTTGCTCAGTACAATATCTCATTACCTTGTATTGTCTAGCAATTATGCCCCATAGTTTAGTTGGTTGCCTTAGCTGCCATCATCAGCTTATTCTCAAACTTTCAATGTGATTGTTAAGACAGTAGGTTTTTGCCGATAGCAACCTGGCATGTACGGCACAACTCTCACCAGGAGAACGTTGAGGTTTGGTGATAGATGGAGCGAAATAAACGTTTAACCAAGCACTGACTACTGGGTTAGATTTGTGTTACTAATTGGTTATCCTTAAGATTCTGGTAGATTTTACCATTTTTGAATTTAAATAACGTTGCTTATCATCATCTGTACTTTGTGGTACTGGTGTAGTAGCATGGACAGCGAGTTCAGAGTAACCATTGGGCATCACCAAGAGTAAGTATTGTTAGAATTTCAAGGGCATTTGGAAGAATGCACTCTGATTTGTGAAGAAACCAGTGATTCTTGCGTCCGTAAAATGCGCATAATCAAACCGCGTTCTGATAATATTATTTTGGTCAATATTCATAACGTTAACTGAATTTTTCGGTAGTCTCCTGATTGAACAACCCAAGTTGGTTCTATAGCAGGCTCAATTACAGGGGTGAAATTGCGGATGGAATATGTGTAGCTCATGCTTATTCTGGCGGAAGGTAGCATGCGGAAATGCATTGAGTAGTGGAAGGAACGCATGCAATAACCAAGGTACCCAGTGGGGTCATACTATGAATAAGACCACCAGCAATCGTGGGCATGTGTTGGTGGAGCAGTCCGGTTTTCACTACGTCAATCGTCAAATACTGGCAGAAGTCAGATACTTCCTATGCTACAAAAGATAGAGAAAAGAGAAGCCCTGCGATGATTTCGATTCTGGAAATTGAGCAGGCTAGTTCGTGTTGCATCTTGGTTGCATTCCATCGTCTGACCGTGCAGTACCGTAAATTGTTTGGACATTACACTCCGCCTTCTGCAATTTGTGGCATGCACATATATCTTAGAATATATTCCTGGGTCTTAGATTGTTTAGAGTTATAGACCACGTAGATGTACGTGAATCGATGCAATGTCAGAACTTCATTTGATTGCAATAATTGTTGGTTATACTACTTGCTGCACTATCTCCTATGACATCTTTCATTGCATTAATCCTGCTTTTTTGTATCCCACTATCTTACTTTTTTGGTTAATAATATTTACCTCTGGAATTCTGTCGTTGATCAAACTTTCTACTTTTCTACCTTTCTAGAACCATGGTTACATCGTTCCATTATTCCTGCTTTGTTTACCAAGCAATTATGTAATCACACGACTAGGTGTTCGCCTATCCATTTTCTTGTCCGGGATTCCTGACCCCAATGAATTACAAATTACTCTTCGTGAAGATGAAATGTGACATACTCAAGGACTGGCAAGCTTCGCTTCGCGAAGCTTGAACGGACTAGTCTGCGCTCCTACGCTGAACCTGGGATACAGTTGAACTTACGGACGCGCAATGCAGAATACACATGACATATTCTTGCTGGATAACTCTGGTGTTCGTGCTGGGACTAGAAGAGATGCTTGATCACACGTTGTTGCATTAGTCATTCATGACCCTATAAAATTGCTAATGAACGTTGATGAAGCTGAATACACGCAAAATGAAGAAACGTCAAATCACTATACATGGCTCCGCGGTATTATCGACCACTGCATGCCGTAGGTTTTTGTAAGCACGTTATCCTCTCCCAGAGTCACATCAAAAGCGGTCGAGAGGTAAGATGGTCGACAACTTGTTGCACACCGTCCAAGAGTATATGTTGTCTGCGGTCCATAGACATTGGCATCACTATGGGCACACTCATTGGATTTCTTTATTAGTGCATGCATAAACAGCTTGAATGGGTCTCAAAACTCTTGTAATCGGTGTCAGTATACATCCACATCACGTTTGAGGTATTTTACATCGAAAATATTCGTCCAACAACCAGTCCCACTTTGGGTACCCGAGTGAACACACAAGGTTTCGGCGAGCCGTTGAATATGGCCCAAAACTCACGTAACGCCTTATGTTTTTTATAAAAGACTTGCGTTCGAGAACTAATGACAACCGATGGGCAATAAAACATCCTGAGCAGTATGAAAATGACGTAAAAAGGAAACTATTATTAGGTGTGCCCTTAAAATTGTATGCACTTCAGTCCTAATACAAGTGGTTAATACCAATTTTGTTTTACTTATGTAGCAACATTAGCAAGCGAACAATCTTATTTCAAGAGCCTGTTCATCACCCGGCGATTCTCTTGTCAGAAATAATCGGGCATATATCCAAAATGCTTCACTAATTCTAGCTTAACCTTGGATCATCTTGATACCCTTCACCAAACTAAACCCAGGAAACCAAGCTTAAGTTACTGCAAGTTAAACAGAAAGCACAGCATGTTACTTCAGCAGTTTTAGAAAGTTCCTCACAGGTACCTACTTAATCTTCCAAAGCCAGCCAAATAAATTAATTACTAGCTTTTCATATAAATCCTTCGATTCCTGACTGGCTCTGAAATGCAAACTGAAACCCACGTATTGCAGTACAACATGGAGGATGATGAAGCCACTATGTGGAATTGACCAATGTGTCACAAAATATGAAGAGTGAGGTGAAGCAGTGCTTTCATTACGAAACGGGAATTCTATGCCCTAATGTTATTCGCCCAGTATCAATTACGAAAATTCATCACTAAATTTTATAGCACAGATTGCCCAGCAGACGCAGCAATCCGAATGGTCCGGTTCCAATACACTAAACACGCTAAGAACTTGACTTGAGCCAACTGCAAATCGCGCACCACAGTTCTTAAAGAACTAACCTAAACACAGCACTGACTCTGAAGAAAGCATGTTAATATCGGCCACGAGGTGCACCTGGGAATTCCCAAATTCAAAAACTTCGTTCTTGAATGAGTACAAATCCAAGGGTAATCTTTTATCATTGTTGTTTTTTTCCAGGGCCTACAAAATATGTGCTGTTTTCTCCACACCATTATGTGTCTTCATCACTAGACGATTAAATAATATAGCGTTTAGCTGTTCCTTGGCTGCAGCCCAGTTTTCAGTTGTACAAACTACGAACATTACATACACCCATTAAATATTTCATATCCTGTCTGTTGTGGGTACTTCGAATAAAGTTATTCAGTAAGCCTTACTGGGTAGTGCAATAACTTCGCTATTTACTACAACTTAGATTGCAACGTGGAGGGCAATTCAGCCATCACTTCTACTCTCCACTTACCTTGTCTCCCTAGCTGTATCCGGATTAAAGCTATATGCTCCTTAGGTGAACTTATTTGCGGAACTTCAAGCCTTTTAGCCTCTTCAGGTACGGTAAAGACAGTCTGAACGAATACATATTTTATTTTCCATTGCGTTGCCGTACTGATGTCATCAAGGTGTAAGATTGCTTCATTCAAACTAAGTAACGAAGTTCGTCGCCAGTAACATATCAGCATGCATTGCTGCTGGAAAGTCTAACTGTCGCTCTTAACCGGGAATTAACCAGATCACGTCATGCGAATTAACTTTCCATAAAGTTAAGGTCTATTGTTCCAACTTGCTTTGGCAAACGTTTTCGTTTATAGATGCTTGTTGTTATGGCATATAATTGCGTGTGAATAATAATAATGTGCCAGCTGTACGCCGCAACGGCGCTTCGCTGCTGAGCAACCACCACCAGTCGCGCGCGGGCAGAGTATGCCGCGAGGACGCCCACCCCTACACGGATTCGAACCGGTGACCTTATGGTTGCAAAGCAAACTTGCAGACCATTTGGCCACCGGCCGACTATAATTGCATGAGTTCTACTCTACTGGTTTCATTGTATTGCACTCAATAATACCGAAATGAAGTTGAGCATTTACTATGTCCCTGTAGCACTTATTTCAACAATGTACTAATTCACGCTCCACCATGTTAAATTTCGACATTTCAGCGCATCTAACTTATTGTATATATTGCCTCATATATACTCATGGACATTAACTGTCTTCCCTATATGTTCAAGTTCTCGATCGAAAGACAGATCCAGACCAGATATGCTCGAGGGATTCCAAGGTCGCTTAGTCACCCGTTTCTGAAGTGAAATTATCGCCATCAATTACGTATTAAAAAAATAATTCAAAAATTCCGCACCAGCTGTTTCTTCTTTGTGTAAGTCCGCTTTTATTATTATTCACTTGTAATTACTTACCATGACTAGCGATCGTTCTGCACTAAGCTGCATAGCAAGTATAACGAAAAACGGTTACATTCACTGATATTAATTTATTTCTTGACACAGATGTACTCACGTATTCCGATCAGTTGACAAGCGAACAATTGTAATAGGTGCATTTCTCTTTAAGTGAGAATCTGCGTCTATATTTAACACAGATCTTGCGTGAGCAATATTGATTTGCGGCATAAACAACAGCGGGATATTCCTCGTCGATTTGGGTATAGTTCAATAGGATATCAGAATTTTAGATCTAAGGCGGAATCGCTATGGATCAGATTATTCATTTTTGTAATTCCAAAGCAGTCCTCCAACTGTTGTTTGAACGAGTGCCGTCCATGCAAAACACTGTTTGTTTATGAGAACATTTTCTCTTCTCCATTCCTGTTGCAAATGTCTGAATCAAATGAGAAAGCTTTAACCAGAAACATTTAAATCTTTGCGAAATCTTTATATGTTCGCAGTAAGGACGGGTTGTAACGTCTTGACCATGTGTACGTTTGGGCCACTTTTGGAGCTGGTAAATGTCGTGAAATCACTGAGCGGATTTTCTGGATCAGCATCGACCTCCGAGATGGATGTAGAGGAAGTGGACCATGACATTTTTACCTGCAAAAATACTTCAGTCTCAGACACATAATTTGCGCTGCTTAAATGACCTGCAGACTCACTGTCCCATGTCGACATCCGTACTGTGCACTGGGTGGTGAGATTATTATACACAAATTAAAGGATCTAGACAGACTTGTTGTGCTTGAGTAGTGTGGCGACCGCAACAGACGTCTCGCTGCTATACATTGTGCAAGCATGAACCTAAAATTACGGAACGCTGGACAAGCGCCAGTTTTACACCAGCATAAACAAAATATCAAGAAAATTTGCGTGTACAACAATATTCTCAAACTTTTTGTAAAAAATATTCTCGAGAATATGTTGGCAGACGCGGTCGAATGATCCCCTTCAACTAGCCTACACAATTAGGTCAGCTTAGATAAACATACTTCTAGGTTAACCATGGTGTCTAACAAATCCATTTTCCTTTTATCATTATTACAGAAGAGTAGTAGGGGGAGTTGAATGGTATAGGTAGAAATTCGTCACATCTAGACTCACTCAGACAGCCGCCACACGCCCGGAAAAGCACTGTACGCGCGTTTCATCCTTTCGGGAATCATCAGCAGTGCGCATTCCACCAGACCCTTGGTAGGGCTCGAACCCGCGACTCGACTGTTGCCAGTCCGTGGTTGAAACCATAGCTACGGGGGGGGGGACGGTAACTACCATCGTGAATGAGTTACTAAATGTGATATAGCGCCGCTCACTATCCACTGACTTACACGTTATTTCCGTGCAGAGGACAGGGTAGCCCCCTCACCAAGCGACGAGCGTACCAAACTTAATCCGCCAATTAACTTATGGCATTATAAGCAGTTTGGTCTGCGTACTGATTACAGAAGAGTAGTAGGGGGAGTTGAATAGTTTAGGTAGAAATTCGTCACATCTAGACTCACTCAGACAGCCGCCACACGCCCGGAAATGCACTGTACGCACGTTTCATCCTTTCGGGAATCATCAGCAGTGCGCATTCCATCGGACCATTGGTAGGGCTCGAACCCGCGACTCGACTGTTGCCAGTCCGTGTTTGAGACCACTGAGCTACAGGAGACGGTAACGACCATCGTTAGTAAGTTACTAGATGTGTGGCGGCTGTCTGAGTGAGTCTAAACGTGACGAATTTCAACCTTTTATCATTATGTTTTAGCTTCACCGCTTTTGCGTTTCTCATTCTGGCCATCCTATGGAAAGTGGTAAGTCTGTGCTTTATTTTACCCGTGACACATCATCGTTCCATTCCATTGTACTGCAGTTTTAGCTCTGACCAAGGACAATGAATTGCTTCATGGCCAAAAACCAAAATGAAGTCTATTTGTAAATGTCTTATGGATTAAAATAATGCATTTACCTATACAGACCAGAATTACTGTTGAAAGTTTAATTCGGTACAGAAAAACACACTTCAATCGTCCTTGTGCCAGTTAAAACCGGTTTAGTTGCCTCGTAAACAGAAACTCCTCGCTCATGATCACAATCGTCGGTGTTCTTCAGGGTGCCATTCGGTCATCGTTTCAACTTCACTCTTATCTCGA